GAGGGGAAGGCTGGAACCGGCCCCAGGCGCCCACCCGGCGCCCCAGCCCCAGCCCCAGCCCGCTCTGGCACACTCACTCTCTCGCGCGCACAGTTCCACCGCCAGCACCGCCGGCCCTGCGAGCTCCTTGCCACCGCGCTGGTCCCGGCTGATGGCCACATTCAGCTCCCGCTGCAGGTCACTCAGGTGCTGGGGCCCGAAACCTGGTGCGGGAGGGCTGGTCAGGGTATGTGTGTGTGTGGGGGTAAGGTTCCCCAGTGTCCAGGAGCGGGGCCACTCACCCGGTGGTGCTGGCGTGTAAAAGTAGGGTGCAAAGCCGTGGATGTGGCAGCACACAGACACGCCCTCGTCCGTCACACCAAAGGCACGGAGCACCGGGACAGAACTGCGGGACGGTGGTGGTCCTCCAGGCAGGGCCTGCGCTGGGCCTGGGGGTGTCGTGTCGTGGATAAGGATAAGACACGGGCAGCGCCCTCAGGTTGCCTCCCCAGGCCTCTGCAGCAGGGCTCGGCCTGTGAGCTACACTCAGGAGCAGCCCAGGCGGTGGAATTCCGCCCATCTTCACTCCCGCAGCCCTTCTGTAGCACCTGGTGCCACGCTTATCCCAACAGCCCACTTCCCACCGCAGAAGAGAGGCCCTCCCCTTTCCATTAGTGAAAAAAAAAAATTATTGTGGACCTCTAGGGTTCAGACCTAGAACGCGGTGAATTGCTACCAAAACCCAGATGCACACAGCACATGCCGAACAACCCCTTGTGCCAACCCACTGCAGTCTCCACGCTCGGCCCAGCTCCAGGCACCACGACCTGCCCTCCATCTCTCGAGTTCTGTCTGAGACCGTCCATATTAACAGAGCCAGCGGGAGGGGCCCTCAGAGGCCAGCTTCCCGCACCTGGTGCCACCTGTCAGGTCTGTCCTCCCTGCGGCCCTCGCTGCTGGCAGGGCGGTGGCAGCGGCTGCGCCAGTGTATCTGTTCCCGGCTGCAGGACGCCTGCACCGTTCCCCGGTTTGGGCAGTGAGGAACAGAGCTGCTGTTCACATGTTTGAAGCTAAGTTCTGATTTTCTAGGTGAGTACGTGGAGGTGGAGTAGCTAGATCCAACGCTAAGAGGTCTGATGGCACAAGAGACCGCGGGGCCGTCCCCGAGCTCCAGCTGCTCTGCATCCTCGCCAGCACTTCTCAGCCTGTCTTACTCTGGCCGGTCTTTCTTTAAATGCCAGAGGGTGTGCACACGCACAGGGACAGAGGGGAAAGGACCCTGACAGGGCCTGGTCACGCTGGAATCCTTTTTCTCCAATTCTCTGTCCGCCAGGGTCCCAAGCACTGGGACTTGAACCTGTCAGCCACACAGGACCTGGCTTCTTCTTCTGCAAACTGCCCACGGCTGTGAGAGGCCGGCCCCTATGTTAGCCACGTTAAGAGGGGTGTTCATCTCTCCCTGCAGCTTTTGCCTTCATGCCCCCCGGGGCTAATGGCGATGAGTAGCAGGTCAGGGCACCTTTGCCGTCCTGCAGTGGCCCAGAGGACCACCTGTAGTCTCTGTCTCCTTCTGAACTAGGTTAATGGCATCCTCACTGCTGAGATCTGCAGTCTCCATAACCCCCACACCAGTGCTTCCACGCAGCGGCCTGCTCCCTCTGCAGGACCCTCTGCCCCGAGTCCCTCCCCCAGGCTCCCCCAGTCCTTGGGGGCTGCCCGGCCTCTGTGACTGGCGGGGCACACCCCCCACCACCCGCTCCTC